AATAAGGAAAGAGTATATAACAACACAGGTGAATCTCAATGGCGTTATAATAAATGTTAAAACCTGGCTTAAAGGCTGTGCATGGGGTAAAAGAGAAAAAACAGTTGAGGAATGACCAAAATGATCTTTAACAAGGATGTTTTTTTCACTGTTGGGGATAGAAACCAGGGCTTGGTACATACTAGGCATGTAGTCTCCTGCTAAACCACACCTCCAGAACCTCACTCGGAGAGGGGGGATGAGGGTGGGGGGGTGGGTTTCCAGGCAGGTGCTCTATTGCTGACCCCACTTGCACCCCCTCACTGGGGGTTCCAAACAGGCGCTCTATTGCTGACCCCACCCGCACTCCTCACTGGGGGTTCCAGGCAAGTGCAGTACCATGGAGCTGCATCCTCAGCCCTAAGGTTTCCTTCAACACAGTTCATTTTTCTTTGGCAGGCACAATGCCTCTCTGGCTCATTTGCATAGACTGCTTGCTATTCCAAGCACAGCTCCCTTCCACCTAAGAACGCGCTTTGTACTGACTCAGCCATTGCTTTTCTGAAACCAGGTATCACGTAGCTCAGGTTAGCCACAAATTCACTGTGTAGCTCAGGCTGCCCTTAACGTCCTGATCCTGACCTGGGGTTACAGGCATGCATTGTTATATGCAGCTGCATTATTTTTGTGTGATGGTGACTCCACGATCAAAACAATCTTTTCAAACCCCCAAAACCATGTTACAAAATAGGGAGACATTTTTATGTATACAAATGAAAACCCAAAAAGTGAATTTGTTGCCCTTTAAAATGCCTGTCTAGGGTTTTTTGAAGAAAAACACTGGGACACAAGGAGTTAAGAGAAAAGTCCATGGGTCTGTGGGGTGGTGGGAATGGCTTCCTGGACTTTCGCCAAGCCATGCTCCCCCCACCTTCAAGCCTTTCTTTTTCCCCCTTCATCACCCTCCATTCAGTAGCTGCAGCCTGCAGGAGAGACAAGGGGAGTTTTGTAGAAGACAGAAATAAATAAATAATGGCCTGCCCTAGGTCGCCACGGCAACCGTGACATCACCCTGGACCCACATGGCCGGCACCATGGGTGGCTTGCCTGGAGTTAAAGGCAGAGGAGAGGATAGGGTGGCTCCTGGTGACAGGTGCAGGACCTCTTCCCCGCAGAGGGTGATAAGCTTGCCCACCTGTGGGTCTCTCTATCAGCTGTCTACCCACCTTCAGACCAGCTGGTGGCAGCATCAATTGTCACTGCTTCTTGGGGGTTTTGACAGAGCTAATGAATGCACCTTCTGCACCAGGGGCCGGCGTCCTCTGTCTGCAGGAATGGAGTAGCTGACACTCAGGACTTGGGCACACAGTTATTCTTGCACAGTTCTTGGAGCGCTGACTTCCAGGATTGAGGTGTGGGCAGGCTTGTTCTTTCTAGTTCTAAGGTCTCCTCTTCTAGGTTCTGGGACCTTTTGGTGACTAGGAGACGTGTTATTCCCATCTTGGCCTCTGTGACAGGAGGCCATCGCTTCCCTGCAGCTGTCTTATATGACATCCTTTTCTATATTGTTTTTGGCCCTCTGAAAAATTTTATTGGCGGTATTAGGGCTTGAACTTAGGATCTTGCATATGCTGAGCCATGCTCCTTCCCCTTATACCCCTCTCTGGAGGATGCTAGACAGGTGCTCTACCATTGAGTCACATCCCAGCCCCTCACTGAGGGATTCTAGGCAGGTGCTCTACCACTGAGCCACACCCCAGCCCCTCACTGGGGGATTCTAGGCAGGGGCTCTACCACTGAGCCACATCCCAGCCCCTTACTGGGGGATTCTAGGCAGGGGCTCTACCACTGAGCCACATCCCAGCCCCTTACTGGGGGATTCTAGGCAGGGGCTCTACCACTGAGCCACATCCCAGCCCCTCACTGGGGGATTCTAGGCAGGGGCTCTACCACTGAACCACACCCCAGGCTCTCACTGGGGATTCTAGGCAGGTGCTCTACCATTGAGCCACACTCCAGTCCCTCACTGGGGGATTTTAGGCAGGGGCTCTACCACTGAGTCACACCCCAGCCCCTCCCTGGGGGAGTCTAGATAGCAGCTCTACCACTGAACCACATTTCCAATCCTGTTTGTGCTTTTAGTTAGGACCCCACTAAGTTGCCCAGAGCTAACCTCAGCCTCACTTTATGTCACCAGCAGCTCTCAAACTTGTGACCCTCCTATCTCAGCTTCCTAAGTAGCTTGGATTATAATAGGCCTGCACCATCAGCATTGGATGCATGTCTGGTTTTCTTTTTTTCTTCTTAATTTAAATTAATTTTTTACGTGTATGAGTGTTTTGTCTGCATGTGTATGTCTCAGATCCCCTGGATCTGGAATTATAGACAGCTGTGAGCTGTCACATGGGTACTAGGAATTGAACTCGAGTCCTTTGGAAGAACAGCCAGTGCTCTTCACTGCTGAGCTAACTCTCCAGCCCCCGCCTGTCTGGCTTGCAATCTGCCCCTGCCAAGGCACCCAGATCCTGGCATGGGAAACACTGGGAGTTGGTTGTTACGGCCCAGAAGCCCTGGGACTTTCAGCCTGGCATCTTAGTTTTCTCACCTGTCTGCTGAGCTCAGCGCTGCCCTGTCCATGTGACAGTGGGATTGCATGAGCAGGACTGTGTAGTTGGGGTGGATCCTATGGAAGAAGGGTGATCAGAGCAGCGGGTCACGGGAGCCGACATGGTGTCTGGAGTCATCGAGGTGTCGTCATAAATCAGACACAGGAGCACCAGAACCGGCAACCTCCCTCAGCCTTCATCCCTGACTTGCCACACCAGCATTCCAGAAGCTAGAATACAGAAGGCAGCCAATGAATGCTCTGTGGACTATAGTAGCAGAGACCAGGCTCACAGAAAGTCCCCCATTGAAAGCTCCAGCGTATTTACCAGCATGAATCCAGTATACAAAAATGCTCAATAAATGGTCCCTGACATGGAGACAGCGTAGAGAGGGCGCTCCACAAATCTCCATCTACTGTATTGGGAGAGTGCCGGCATACAGAAGATACAAAATCAATGTTCCAGGGACCTTACCTTGATCTAGCAGGTACTCGGGACACCTCAAAGACTCATGATGCTCAGAGGTCTTTGTTCTGAGCTCTCCATTTGGGGGGAATGCATAGTTGTCATTGAGGTTGTGTGTGTGTGTGAACATGCATGGGGACCCCAAAGGAGGATCCTGGGTAGTTTTCTCTATCGGTCTCTACTTTGTTACCTCGAGACAGGGTGTATATAACGGTGTATGTAACGGCAGGGAGATGTCAGGATCTGTCTGTATGTCTCCCCCTCTGCCCCAGTGCTGGCGTTATAGGAGTTACAACCACACCCAGCCTTTTTACGTGAGTGCTTGGGATTCAAACTCAGCAAACACATTTCCGCGCCCTGAGCATTTCCTCAGCCTGTGTAACTGGGATCTTGGGGGGAGTGATCTTGATGTCTTTGGGTGGCATCTGCCTCCCCCTGGTGGACGATGCTGGGCAAAGCTCCAGGGGAAACTTGAGAACCGGTGTGCAGAGAACACTGCATAGCTTGCTGCTTCTGTTTTTCGGGCGGAGAGCCAGGCATGCACAGGTGTTTCTTCCTGGCCCCACTGACTCTCAGGCGTCAACCAGGCTAACTGAAGTGCCCCCGACTCTCACATCACGGTAGAGCCAGGCTCAGAAGCCAGCTGGGCTGGGACCAAGTTTTTTGCCACCTGGTGATGTCACGTCTCTGCTCCAAACTGTGCTGTGTGAGACTAAGGGGAGGCAAAGACATTTTGAAGATTTCACACACCAACACACAAGAAATGTTTGTTATTTTAAAAGGTTTATTTATTTATGAGACTGGGTCTCAATATGTAGCCCTGGCTGACCTGGGACACCCTGTGTAGACCAGGCTGGCCCTGAAGTCACAGAGATTTACCTACTTCTTACTCTTAAGAGCTGGGATTAAAGGCATGCAGCACACAAATGTTTATTAGTGTGTGTGTGTGTGTGTGTGTGTGTGTGTGTGTAGTGTGTGTACCACAGGTATCCAACGAGGCCAAAGAGGCTAAGAGGGCATCAGATCTCCTGGAACTGGAGTTCCAGGGGTTGTAGACTACATGATGTGGGGTTCTGGGATCTGAATTCGGGTCCTCTGTGAGAGCAGTATGAGCTCTTAACCCCTAACCCATCTATAGCTCCAGGAGTTCTTGTTCTTAAGGGAAATTTAAGTCTGAGAATATGGCTCAGTTGGTAGAGTGCTTCCACGGTTTGTGTGACGTTCTGCATTCCATCCCTAGTGCCGCAAGAGCCTGGCGCCGTGGTGCACATCTGTAATCCCATCACTCAGAATCCTCCTGCCTCTACCCTCCCCCCCCCCGCATGTGAGACTTATACACGTGCACCGATTGCATCAGTTTTTGAGGTGCTGGGGGTGGTACTAAGAGCTTTGCACATGCTAGGAAAGTACTCAACCAACTGAGTTGTATCCCCATCCCCAGTAAAGAAACATCACATTTAGGATCAGACATGAAAAAGTTGGCAGTAGAAGATGTTTATTACCTAGGGCTGAGGAGATGGCTCACTAGGTAAAGCACCTGCTGCACAAGCATGAGGACCTGAGATCAAATCCTGGAACTTATGTAAAATGCAGGTTCAGGCAATGACAGAACTTGCAGTGGGAAGTTGGCATATGGCTGAGATAGGCAGACTCTGAGGCTCACTGGCCAGCCAGCTCTGAAATGGTGAGCTCTGAGTCCAGTGAGTGACCCTGTCTGGAAAAAATGGGGAGGGGTACAATTGAGGCAGACACTCGATGTTGGTTACTGGCTTGTGTGTACCAATACAAAAGTAAGCACCACACAAACACATACATGTAATCAAAAACTGTGAATACTCAGAAAAGGAGACAGAAGGAAGGAGAGAGAAGGAGGAAAGTTGCGTGGGTGAGAATCTGGAGTCTGGCTTCCTCATCCAGTCTTTCTGAAACTCTTTCTGCCTCTCATTGCAGGTTTATGAATGACCGAGTCCCAGCGCACAAGAGGTACCAGCCCACAGAATATGAACATGCAGCCAACTGTGCCACCCACGCTGTGAGTTGACTTATGGGGTACTGACATGGGGACCCTTCAGGGTAGGGGTGAAGAAGGCACTCTTCTCAATCTATTGTGTATATTATCTGTGTATATACGTAGGTGAGTGCAGGTGCTCACAGAGGCCAGCAGAGGGCGTCAGATCCCCTAGGGCTGGAGTTCGGCAAGTGTGAGCTACTCAGTGTGGGTGCTGGGGCTGAACTTGGGTTCTCTAAAAGAGCTTGGAAAGCTGGACGTAATCGTTCAGCACTTTAGTCTCAGCGCTCTGGAGGCTGAGGCAGGAGGATCTCTGTGAGTTCAAGGCCAGCCTCTGTGTAGCAAGCTCCAGGACAGCCATGATGCAGGTGTGGAGAGCCTAGGACAATTTCAGGTGCCAGTTCCCACCTCCCACTTTGTTTGAAACAGTCTCTGTTGGACAGGTGTAGGCCAGGCTAGCTGACCCGTGGGTTTCTGGGAACTCTGTCATCTGACTGTAGAAATGCTGGGATTGTGTAGAAATGCCAGGAATACAGACGTGTGGTACCATGTGACCCAAACCACAGGAACCCGGGTTTAGAGCAGCGAGGTGTTGAGGAGGAGGACCAGGAATGAGAAGATAAAGAGGATAGAATACTGAGATCATCTCTCTCTCTCTCTCTCTCTCTCTCTCTCTCTCTCTCTCTCTCTTCTCCCAAGGCAGAGTTTCTCTGTGTAACAAGTCTGGCTTAGATCAGGCTGTCCTCAAACTCAGAGATCCCCTGCCTCTGCCTCTCGAGGTCTGGGATTAAAGATGTGCGCCACCACCATATCTTACATAGTATTTGCAGAAGGAAATGGGACAGAGTCAATAGAGACCTATCACAGAATGGGGCAAAGTCAGCAGGGAGCTGATCAAGCAATATTGCACAAATGAGACACAAGGTATCTCAAGTAGTCCCAGACTGAGCACACAGTGGCCTTGGGATGATAAGAACAGCCCTTTCCGTGGGGGAAGAGTTAGATTCCCAGGATCTGAAATTGCAGCTCCCCCAAGACACAGCGCCCGGGCCATTACTGACTCTGCCAAGTATGTTCATGGTTTTAGACCGGGAACTATGTCTCCGTATATCAGTGCCTCAGGGAAGTCTGGCTTTGGCCTGGCTCCCGACAACCGCATCTGGCTTTATTTCGGTTCTCAGGATCAGAACTCCAGTCCTCACACTTGATGGAAAGGGCCTTACCATTGAGTCCCTCACCCCGTCCATGATGCACAAGTTTTAATTTGTAATCTTAATTTTATTTCTATGGGTGTTTTGCCCGATGTATGTCTGTTCCCGGTGTGCATGCGTGGTGTCCACAGAGGCCAGACGATGAGCTCTGACCCCCTAGAGCTGGAGCTACAGACAGCTGTGAACCACTATGTGGGTGCTGGGAATTGAACGTGGGTCCTCTGAAAAAACAGCCAGTGCTCTTAAGTACTAAGTTGTCTCTTCAGCCTCCAATAGATACAGTTTTTATGTCTTATGAATCAGTTAACATTTTTGAAAAATTAAAATAGACCCCGTTTCACTTCTTTAGTGGTGCTGTTAGCCCATGGGCTTGGTGGGCACCATCTTGGTATTGGGTAGCATGATCTGGAGAAAAGGAGGGAGTCAGTGCAGAGATCTTGGGGCTTGGTACTCCCTTGGCATTGTTCAAAAGTCTGAGCCTGGCCAGCGAAGAGGGCTCAGTTAAATGCTTTCTACACAAGCACAGGGACCTGAGTTCAGTTCCCAAGGCCTACGTGGTGGAAGAGAACTGCCTATCTCTGATCTCCAATAGTGCACTCTTGCACGTACTCATACATGCGTGCGCGCGCGCGCGCACACACACACACACACACACACACACACACTAAAATGTTTCAAACAAACAAGCAGAGTAAACAGTGCCTCAGGAAGGATGCCTGAGGTTGACCTTTGAGCTTTACACACATGTGCAGGGAAGTGTAACTCAGCGCCGCATTAAGTCACGTAAAAAGCCTGCTATGCCCCACATCACACGCTTCCCCCCTCCCACGCACAAAAGGGCTGGGCCTTGGATGTGGGGAAATGGCTCAGCAGCTGAGAACATTCGCTGCTCTCGCGGAGGATCTGAGTCTGTTTCACAGCACCCATTTCATGGGTGCCTCTTAAAATCATCTGGAGGTCCAGCTCCTGGGGATTCAGTGCCCTCTTCTGGCATCTACTGACTCCTGCACTCATGTGAATAACCCCCACCTCCACCCCATACAAATACCCAAACTTAAAATTTAAATGCCTCTTTAGGAAATATATCTATTTTTTAAAAAGCCTGGCCCTGTTCTGTCTTCTCTCCCTCTAGTTCTGGATCATTCCCAGCATCCTCGGCAGCTCCAACCTCTACTTCCTGTCGGATGATGACTGGGAGACCATATCTGCTTGGATCTATGGCCTCGGCCTCTGCGGCCTCTTTGTGGTATCCACCATTTTTCACACCGTCTCCTGGAAGAAGAGCCATCTCAGGTACCCCCGTCCATCCCTCGGAAGGGCACATGGACATACACTGTAAACACGCATAGGCAGAGGCGAGCGAGTATTCACATCAATGGGTGTCGGGAGGTACCCCCCACATGCCCCACAATGGCAGGCAGCCCGGACAGCTGTTGCTCTGGTCCCTCACAGCTGGAGAGACTGAGGCTGGAGGGGGGTGTCTACAGGGTGGGGTGGGAATCTCAACTCTGCCTCTCAGTCTCTCCCACTGGGGAAGGTAAGGCTGTCCCCACGTGTAACACCTGATTCTGTGTTACTCTTGGTACAGTTCGTGCGCCACTGTACCGTAGGCAAGCCTGGCCAGGGCCTGGATTTTGAAAGAACACACACACACACACACACACACACACACACACACCTGGGTCATTCGAAAGGAGAATAGCCGAAAGTCGTTTATTCAACCTTGGGGAAATCCTTGCACACCTAGCTGCTGCACAAGGAATTTCCCCCCAGGCAGGTGGGAAATTACCACACCCAAGATGGAGTAAACAATGCCCTACAGCTAATCACCAGGAGGGGCAGAGGGAGCACATGAACAAACAGAATGTTTTAGCTGGCTGACCAGAAACTGTCCTCAAGATGAACCCCAGGAGCAGGGGTACACCCATGGGCCCTACACCCACACAGTGAGGTGGGTGCTCCCATGCTTCCCTGCCACACAGGGGCTATGACCTGCCTCCTTCTCTATCTGCCCTAGGATGGTAGAACACTGCCTGCACATGATCGACAGGATGGTCATTTACTTCTTCATCGCGGCCTCCTACGCTCCTTGGTGAGTGCCAGCACCCACCCCCACCCCACCCTGCTGGCTTCCTTTTTCCTGCTTGAATTTCTGCCTGCATTCCGGTGGGTAATTGGTGACCACACAGACAGAGGAGTAGGTGGGAAAGAAAACGTACTCGTCCTTTTTCTTGTGCCAAGAAATACCCACTTATTGCCAGCTTCTCGTGTATCCTTCAAGGGTTGCTGTAGGCAAAAAAGAGCAAGTGTGTACATCTGTGTATGCAAATGCTTATGTATACATTAGCATGTATTAACATATATTTACAGATATAAATAGATGTCAATGACTGTATAGATCTATAGACACACTTGCACATATATGCAGATATGTATGTGGTTTTTGTTTTTTTTTTTTAATCATTATTTTTTTTCATGATGGGGGAAAGAAAGAGAGGTAGAGAGAAATGGTCTCAGGTTACCTAGGCTAGCCTTGAACTCCCTATGTAGCTGAAGCTGGCCTTGGATTCCTGATCCTTCTGCATCTGTTGGACTCAAGCGTCTAAACACCGAGGAGGAGTCACCCCCAGAGATCATCTCACACACCACAGCCGATGCAAAAGCATGAGGATTTTATTAATTCTGTCATGACAGGGTCCCCCAGCATTCGGGAAGCTGAGAGACCTCGAATAGCGGGTACAGTCTACTTTAAAGGGGTCACAGAAGCAATGGGGGGGTGTTTTTTGACTATTCTGATTGGCTTATTCGAAAGGGCTATTACCAATAATTGACTGGAGAGCTGTTGCCAGATCAGATGAGGTAAGAGGTCATTTTGACCCCGTTTCCCAGGGGACCGAACCAAAGCATATGTATATGGGTAATTGTTCAGGAACTGAGTACGTGCGAGTATAGCTGTTAGGTCCTTGGTTCCCAGGGGAGGAGGGGAAGCACTATGGCACAGAGGCTGAGAGGATTCAGAATTGTCAAAAATGGCTTCAGGATTGTCTTAAAGTCTTACACATCCACTTTTACAATGCTGAGATCACAAGTGTGTAACACGGTGCCTGGCTTTTATGTGTGTATTGAAAGTATTACTTATTGCTAGGTGTGGTGGCGCACACCTTTAGTCCCAGTACTTGGGAGGCAGAGGCAGGTGGGTCTCTGTGAGTTTGAAGTCAGCAGGGTTACATAGTGAGACCCTGTTTTTTTTTTTTAAATACTCATTTTAAGATATGTTTATCTTTTTTTCCCCTGTGATGCTGGGAATCAAATCAGTTCTCTGTCACAGAGAAACCCTGCCTCTCTATGTTTCATACCTGTATTGTACATTATAAAGTGTTTATTTAGACAAGTGTGTGGCATGTACTTGCTATGCCAGACTTTCGGAGGCCGAGGCGGAGTTTGAGGTCAGCCCTGGCTGTATAGTGAGCCCCTGTCTCGAAAACAAAATAAAACCCAAAGCATCTATTTATAGTTTTGCCTTCGGCCTGTTTCCCTTTTGTGTGCACACACGAGCGCGTGTGTGGTGTGCATGTGTCTGTGAGTGTTTCATGTGTGGATTCAGGCATCATCCCTGCCTTCATTCTTCACCTTGCTAGGAGGCGGGATCAGGAGCTTGGATGACCACACTTCTTCCACACAGAAAACAGAAAGCTACTGTGATGTGGGTGGAGCTTAGACTTTCTTTCACATGTGCTAAGTAAACATCTGTCTCCCACACCTCTGCTGAGATGGCGTCTTGCTATGTAGTGTTGGCAGGTCAGGAACGTCTGTAAACAGACACTCGACTACAGTCTCCTTGAGCTGGGGCTTCAGGACTAAGGATCTGGTGCCCTCTTCTGGCCTCCACTGGCATCTGCACTCACGTGCACCCCTCCACACTACCCCATATTAATTTAAACAATTTTTAAGAGTTTTCTCCTCTAAGGAATTCATCCAGAGAGGAGTTGAAGGATCTGCACCACCAGCGTCTTACTGGCTTTTCTAAGCCTCTTGGGAAGGGGCTCAGGTCTCTCTGCATCTACGTGGAATTCATCTTGGGTGCAGAGACTTTGATCTTGTTGCCTTGCTCCTACTTCAGACTGTGATAAGGGAGAAAGCATTTATTCCAGCTGGTGACTCAGGAGTACAGCTCTGCATGGCAGGAATTGGGGAAAACTGGTGGAACTCATACTGGAAGGGTTTCCCAACATCGGTGACCATAATTAAGGTCACCACGCACAGCCATCCCCAGAGGCCCTTCTAGGTGATTCTGAGAACTCAAGTTGACAGTTAGCACTAATCACCTCACTCACTATTCTTTTTAAAAATGTACTTTTATTTTATGTGCATTGGTGTTTTGCTTGTGTGACACACCTCACATGTCTGTTAGTGTGTTTGATCCTGGGAACTGAAGTCACAGACAGCTGTGAGCCACCATGTAGGTGCTGGGAAATGAACTCAGATCCTCTGGAAGAGTAGACAGTGCTCATAACTCCGGCCCTGCTATTCTTATTGTGTTTATAAAGATTTATTAGTTTTTTATTTTAAATTTTATAAACTTTATTATGAAAACTTGCAAAAATAAACCCACATGCCAAAATTGGCCATATCCTAAGTCTGCACATCTTGATGACAGTTAGAGTAGCCATCTTGCAATGGAGACTGTGGTGCTTCCCTTTGGAGTTTGCACTTTCATTATCAAATATATTCTGATGCACGTATCTGTCACCCAAAACAAAAAGCCCACGACCGGGTCAGAACCAGAAAAGCTATAGGCTCTCTCCTCTTTTCTAACCCGTCACCTGCACTCAGCGCCTTCTCACCGCCCCCCCCCCCCCCCCGTCTTCAGCCCTGTTCTCTTTTCAACACGCTATGCTAGACCCACATGTCCATCCATTTACAGACATACACATATGATTGTACAGGTGTTTACTTATTTTAAATTATGTGTCTGTGTGAGATACTGTGTGCATGTGTACCACATACTCATGGTTACTTGTGGAGGCCAGAAGAAAGTGCCAGGTCCCTTGGAACTGGAGTTATAGGTAGCTAATGTGGGTGCTGGGAACTGAGCCTGGGTTCCCTGCAAGAGCAACAAACCTCAGTGTCTCTGTCCCCCCTCCCCCCAACCTCTGAAGATGGGTCTCACTATGTAGCCCTGGATGGCTTGGAACTCACAATGCAGACCAGGCTGGATCCCATTTGTGTCTGCCTCCCCAGTGTTGGGACTAAAAGTGCATGCCACCCATGCCTGACCCAGCAAATAGTCGTAACTCTCCAAACTCCAGCTTGCTGTTCTTGACTGACCTCACCCCCCCCCCCCCCATGTAGCTTCTGGGGATTCCCTATGTTTGTTTCATCTATCCTCCTATTTTTAAAATGACCACGAATAGGGCCTTTAAGATGACTTAGCCAGGAGCAGGGGCAGGCACAAGTCTTTAATTTCAGCGCCCAGAAGGCAGAGGCTGGTGGATTTCTGAGTTTGACGCTAGCCGGGTCTACCGAGTGAGTTCCAGGACAGCCAGGACTACACAGAAAGACCTTGTCTCAAACAAGCAAGCAAGCAAGCAAGCAAGCAAACAAACAAACAAAAACTAAAACCCAAAATAGAGGACTTAGCAGATTGAAAGAAAAGGTGCCTGCACACAGCCCTGACTTCTGTAGACAAACCTGAGTTCCCGCCCGGGAAGCCACATAGTAGAAGAGAACCAACCCTCAACCCTCTGACCTCCACACATACACTATGGCAAATAGGCACACATGCGCGTGCACACACACACGCATACACACACACACAAAGTAAATGTTAAAAAATTAAAAACCTACAGATGTACTCAAAATATACAAAATCACAAGAGTTGGGCATGGTGGTATGTATTAGGGTTCTTTAGAGAAACAGAACCAGTAGAAGTTATGTATATTATAAAAGGGGTGTACTCGTGTGTGTGTGTGTGTGTGTGTGTGTGTGTGGTGTGAACATGTGTACATACACTCATGTGAAGGACAGAGGTCATGTGAAGGTTAGGCATCTTTCTTGTTTGAACTCCACTTTACTTTTTGAGACTGAGCCACAGGGACCCTCCTGTCCCCACCTCCCTGTCTCTGGAGATTATGGGTCCTCATGCTTGAGTGACTAGCATTTTGCTGGCTCAGTCTTCGCAGCTGTGAGGTTTGCTTTGGTCTGGGTCTTTTGTCACGTGTTTAACTGAGACTGGCCTGGAACTGGCGACTCTGCTTCCTCAGTCTCCTGACTGCTGGGATGACAGGCATGTGCCACGGTTCCAATTTTGACAATTCAATTTGCACAGCATTCTGTCCCTCCGAGTGAGAGTCCTTGTCCTACCTGAGCAGCCATTGGGGACTGGGCGGCTCTGGGATCAGCTTCCTGTGATAGGCTGGCCATGGAGTGCTTGGCCTTGGTGACCCCATCATGCTCTGCCCTTGGCTTTTTTTCTCCCAGGCTGAACCTCCGGGAGCTGGGCCCCTGGGCTTCCCACATGCGCTGGCTGGTCTGGATTATGGCCTCTGTTGGTACTATCTATGTCTTCTTCTTCCATGAACGGTAAGTCAGGGCTAGGGGATCTCAGTTTGAGGAGGTGCCCCTTAATTTTTCAGTACCACCTGCTCAGCAGCCTCAAGCAGGTGAAGCCCCAAGATGACCCCCAAAATGTGAGGACATGGCCTTGCCTGCATCCTAACTTGAGGAGCATGCTTGTATACCAGGCCCCATCCCTCAGAGGGACAGATCTAAAGCTGTGTGTGTATGTGTGTGTGTGTGTGTGTGTGTGTGTGCATGTAGGGGCCAGAGTTTAATGCTGGCCACTGAACCCTAGATCCTCCTGTCTCTCTCCATACCCAGAAATGAGGTTACAGATATGTGTGATCATGCCTGGCTTTTATGTTGGTGTGGGGCTCTGAACTCAGGTCCTCATGCTTGTGCAGAAAGCCCTTTATCAATGAAGTCATCTCCCCAGGCCTTGAGTGCTCCCCCCGCCACCCGCTCTGCAAATATCATAGTAGGTGTTAGGAAGAGGGCTCTATTGGTGAAGTTCCTGTTGTTCAAGCATGAAGTTCGGAATTCGATCCCCAGAACACACTTCAGTAGCTGGGCACAGTGATATGCCCATCATTCCACTGCTGAAGAGGCAGAGACAGGAGAATCCCTGGGACTTGCTGCTCAGCCAGTGCTAGGTCCTGCCTGACATATTCGTCCACGCTTTGCGGGGAGAGTGTGGATTGAGAAAGAGACAAGAGACAGCAGATAGAGTCCGAGGGCATCCAGTGGATACTGTGGTCGGCCTCATGATTATTTCTCATTGCCCTTATTTACCCTGATCCGTAAAGGAGGCAGAAGGCAAAAGACTTCTTCACCAAGATACAAAGAACAAAGTAATTACCTTTTGTTTTTGTTTTTTTCGAGACAGGGTTTCCCTGTGAACAGCTCTAGATGTCCTGGAACTAGCTCTTGTAGTCCAGGCTGGTCTCAAACTCACAGAGATTCTCTGCCTCCAGAGTGCTGGGATTAAAGGTGTGCGCTGCCTTCACACAACCTTGAAGGAGCTAGAACAGGTCTGAGCTCTCTGACCTTTAGTCAAGGTGGAGCAGAGCCACTTCTGTGGGCTCCCATAAGCCAGCTTACTCTACTTGGCAAGGTCCACGTCAGTGAGAGACCCTTTCTTAAGGTGGACAGCACCTCAGGAATGACCCTTGAGGCTACTCTCTGACTTCCATGCATATGTGATCATGCTTCACACATATCTGCCCACACATGAGCACACACATCAAAACATTTTCAGTCATGTGTGTCTGTGTGCATGTGTATGTATGCATGTGTGTAGTTGCCCCAGGAGGCCAGAAGAGGGCATCAGATCCCCTAGAGCTGGAGTTGTAGGTGGTTGTGAGCTGCCCATTGTGGGTGCTGGGATTTGAACTATATGTGCTCTTAACTGCTGAGCCATCCATCAGCACACTATCCTATCCAGATTTGTTCTTATGACCTCATAGGTTACTTGACCCTCTCAGTGAACTAGATCACCAGTCACCTGCCTTCCCTACACTGTATTATCAGATAATGGGGAAAGGCTTTAAGAGGTCATGTACCCTGAAACCTTTTCTTCTGCTATGACACTGGACTGACAGTCATTAAGTGGGGGAGGAGAGAGAAACCAGGGAGGCAAAAGAAAATAACGAAGTCCTGCACAGAGCCCACGGGGCTCTAGGAGATAAACAATCCAGAATGGCATAGGGTTCGGTTCACCTAGCAATCAGCACAACTGAGAATGACTGTTTGGGTCCTGTGGGGGAAGATGCTGGGATTAATTAGTAATGTCTGCCGTAGGCCACATATTGACAGTACCCATGTGCTTGCTATATTTAAATTTGCAACCCATGTTCTACCTACAGTGTATACTGTAGAAGCTCAGGAATAGGCTCTGAGAAGAAAAGGGGCATGTCATATGATTTGTCCAAGGTCACATGACTTCCATTACCTGCTGATGTTGCTGGGCAGAATATGAGCCGTGGAGTTCCACACAGAGAAAATCTCCTCTTCTCGCTGTGCTGGTCTTCAACATCAGAAAGCGGGGTGCCCTGTCCCTCCTTGGAAGCTTGTCCTGAGATCACATGATCTGTCTCCCCAGGTACAAGCTTGTGGAGCTGCTCTGCTATGTGGTGATGGGCTTTTTCCCCGCCCTGGTGATCCTCTCCATGGTAAGTCCCACTTGCCCAGCGGGAGGACTCCGATCACATGTGCGAGCTGGACCTGCCTCTCGAGACTGTCAATCAAGCCCCCACCTCTGGCAGCAGGGGAAACAGGCTGAGTAGGTCTGTGTGCTTGCCTGACGGGACAGAGAACATGGAGAGCTCCCTTGGGAGCTGCAGCATCCCTTCTGTCTAATTCCGAGGTTAGGTCTCCATATACCACGAAAGTGACTAGACAGCTCAGGCAAGTCACTGATCATGGTGCCCAGGACACGGTGCCTGCTAAGAAACACTGGATGTCTCGACTGCTGTGTGGTTAATATTCAGCAGCAATACTCTTGAGGACTGGGGAAAACGTTATTTTGTGTGTATGTGTGTGTGTGTGTGTGTGAGTGTGTATGTGTGTGTGTGAATGTGTATGTGTCTGTGTGTGAATGTATATGTGTGTGTTTGTGATACCTTAGAGGTAATCACAATACCACTTAAAATGCTTTAGATTAATTTTTTGTTGCTATGACCCAAAGCAACTTAGAGGGCCGGATGGAGAGATGGTTCAGTGGTTAAGAGCACTTGTTGCTCTTGCAGAGGACCTGAGTTTGATTCCTAGCACTTACATCAGGTGGTTTACAAGCACTTTTAACTCCGGGTGATCTGCTGCCCTCTTCTGGCCTCCATGGGCACTGCACACAAATGGTGCATATACTCCCCTCCCATATACATATATATAAAACTAAAAATGAAATGATTTTTAAATAGCAGTTTATAAAAGAAAGAGTTAATTTGGATCACAATTCCAGGTTACAGCCCATCATTGAGAAGAAGGCAAGGCAGGAACTTGAAGCAACTCGTGACATCCACAATCAAGAGCAGAGAGAAATTAATGCGTGGCTAGTGTTCAGTTTACTGCCTCTACTGTCATATGGTCTAGGACTCAAATCCAGAGAATGGCGCTGCCCATTCTTAGGCTGAGGCTTCACACATCAGTTAGGACAATCAAGACAACCTCCCACGGACATACCCACCAAACAATATGATCTAGACGTTTCCTTGCGACTCTCCTCTCAGGTAATTCTAGATTGTCGAGTTGGCAGTTAAAATTAAGCACCACACAGGAGTTTTAATCTCTAAGAGATGTTTTCATTTTTTGGGAGAGGGTCTCCGATAGCCCAGGCTAGTATCAAACTCATTTATGTAGAGTAGGGTTGCAGGCAGGTGCCACTTGCCCAATCTCCAAGAGACTTTGTTTTGTGGCTGTTCAAGTTGTAGAAAGACAAGGATAGTGGAACCCAACTGACCTAAAGATGAGTAGGTCCTGTGTGTCAGAACAGATGAAGGGCATGAGTGTGGCTTACAACATCACCTTTGGCAGCTCACAAACACCTGTAATTCCAACTCAGGGGATCTAGTGCCCTCTGCTGGCCTCCTTGGATGCCCACGTACACGTGACACACACACAAATAAATAAACAACTATTTTAGTAAAAAATAATCTTAAAGCTGGGCGGTGGTGGCGCACGCCTTTAATCCTAGCACTCGGGAGGCAGAGGCAGGCGGATCTCTGTGAGTTCGAGACCAGCCTGGTCTACAGAACTAGTTCCAGGACAGGCTCCAAAGCCACAGAGAAACCCTGTCTCGAGAAAACAAAAACAAAAAAAAAAACAAAAAAAAAAAACAAAAAAATAATCTTAAAATAAAAAGCCTGACATGGTGCATGTACTTGTAATCCCAGTACTGGGAAGGATCTCTGAGCTTGTTGGCCAGCTGGTGTAGCCTTACTGATGAGCTCCCCGCTAGTCAGAGACCCTGTCTCATAAAACAAGGTGGATGGTCGGGCGCTGGTGGTACATGTCTTTACTTGAGAGGCAGAGGCAGGCGGATCTCAGAGTTTGAGACTAGCCTGGTCTACATAGTGAGTTCCAGGACAGCTAGGGCTACACAGAGAAGCCTGTCCCCCCAAAACCAAACCAAAACAAAACAAAGCAAACCAAAACCCAAGGTGAATGAATGGTGTCTTGAGGAGAAATGCCTGAGGCGGATTTCTGTCCTCAATATGCGTGCACACATCCTACACACACACACACACACACACACACACACACACACACACACAGAGAGAGAGAGACAGAGACAGAGAGAGGGAGGGAGGGAGGGAGGGAGAGAGGGAGGGAGGGAGAGGGAGAGGGAGAGAGAGCACACCCCCCCCCCACACAGAATCCCCTTTCTCCTCTATTGATAAAACTCCTCCCCCTGAGGAGATGTACACAACGTCTACCCCTCCTTGGGTCCACCAGTGTCTGCTCTAGCTTACTGCAGGGCAGTGTGTGAAGGGTTATGGGCAGGAGCATGGATGACTTGGAAGCAGCCACACTGGAAGGTTTGCATCACCATGCTTGATGACTCCCTGTGGCTATGGAGATGGAGTCTCCTCCCATAGCCCCCACCCATATCTTCCAGTCCTTCTCAGGAACCCCAATTATGGATGAATTGGGAAGGATGGCTAGATACTCAGGTGAGGCTACCATGACCCTCCCTGCCCCCTCTTTCCAAGAGGGGGTATCAGCATCCAACAAGCCCAACTGTGATGATCTTGGCAAGCAGGCCCAGCTAAAACTCCTGGAGATGGCAGCAATTTGGCTTGGAGGACAGCTCTGGGCAACATCATCCAGGTCATGGCATCCCCTTCTGCTGTCTGTCTCTGTGGACTTGGCTACTTTGGGACAGTCACATTTTGTGGTAGCTGTCCTTTCGTGCCTGGCTTCTTTCACTTAGCATTGTGTCCTTGGAGCTCCTCCACATAGTGGCTTGTGTCACAATGGTCCTCTTGTCTTTAAGGCAATGTAACAAGTAATGTTCCATGGTATGGGTATACTAACCAACTCTGTGTGTGTGCGTGAGTGTGTTTATGTATGCATGCATGTGTGCGTACGTGCGTGTGTGTATACTAACCAACTCTGTGTGTGTGCTTGTATGCGTGAGTGTGTGAGTGAGTGTATGCATGTGCGTGTGTATATACTGTCTGTGTGTGTGCGTGCGTGTGTGCATGCATGTGCACATGTGTGTATACTGACTCTGTGTGCGTGTGCGCATGTGTGTGTGCGCACGCATGTGTGTGCATGTGTGCGTGTGTGCATGTGTGCGTGTGTGCATGTGTGCGTGTGTGCATGTGTGTGTGTGTGCAGCGATGGGGACTGAACCCAGGGCATTGCACATTCTAGGCCAGTACTTTACTACTCAGCCGCATTTCCAGCCCTCTTTCCCCCTTCCCCGGGGTCTCAGTATTTAGCTTTTATGTTCTCCTTGAACTTGCTATGCCGCCCTATAAAAGCAACCTTTTTGAGATTTTGGGTTTGCACTGTAGAGGCAGAACCTTGGATCTCTAACCCTGCTACGTTTGCCTTCTTCCAAGTGCTAGGCCTCTGAGGTTTGAGTTCGCTATCATCAGTTGCAGATTTTGCAAGTTAATATGGAAAATTTGATGCCACAATATTGAGACTTCCTAGGGGACTCGGGGCTTGTTCGCCACTTGTATGTCTTTCCATGTGGGTAGCAGGGAATGATGAAGTCTCCCTCTGACTTGTGTCTAATCCTTTTCTTCCAACAGCCCAACACCGAGGGCATCTGGGAGCTGATGACAGGAGGGGTCTTCTACTGCTTGGGCATGGTCTTCTTCAAGAGTGACGGGAGGATTCCCTTTGCTCATGCCATCTGGCACCTCTTTGTGGCATTTGGTGCTGGTACTCACTACTATGCCATCTGGAGGTACCTCTACCTGCCCAGCACACTGCAGACCAAGGTGTCCAAATGAGGTGACCCAGATTCCATGGGTCATTTAGATTTTGGAATCAAAGCATCATGGAAAGTGAACTGTGAACTCTAACCTAAAGCATAGTGCCAAGCTCTGCCTGCCTTTTCCTGGATGGAATTTTTTAAGGTTCTAAGGTCTCTTTCAGTGACAGCTGTACCACCTTTTGAGTCTCCAGCAAGGAAGAAAACATTTAGCCATCTCCATGGAGAAGAAATTAATTCAGTACTGTGTTTCTACTTTAGACAAATGATTTTTTAAATTATAACCAATATTAACATCTTCAGAAAAGGGCAAAATAGGGAATGACCCTCCAAGAGGTAATTTTTAAGGTCCTGAGCACATTCCTTTCTGCTGCAGGGGAAAGTCACCTAGCATTAGATGACAGATGGGGAATATCCCTGACCATTGCAGGCATCATCAATCAATTGCAGCATTTACATAGTGATAGAATTCAATATAGTGTCCCAAGCAGACATTACTAATTGATTCTGTGCTCATGATGGAACCTCTTGGCTGGCCTGGTGTGTTAAGAAACAAGATCACAGCAGAGTTATTAGAAGTCACTATATGGAGGAACATGTTTATCTCTGGACACCATTACCTTCTCCCTTCTCCCCCCCCCCCCCCCCCCGTCCACCTTCAAGGAAGTTCTTTGTGTGGGATGTTTGGAGGCAGTGCGGGGAAACCAAGGCATCCATTCCCAACAGCTGCTCACACTCTGCTCCACTATGGCTGGTCCTTGGTTCTGGAGGTGCTGAGGGCTGGGATGAGGATGCTGCTACTTGGCCATTTCTTCTCATCTCACAGAATCAAAAGAAACCATGAAGCTGAGCTCACCAGAGGGCTTTTCTTGGTGTCCAGAGACATCTCTCAGAGGCCCTCTGTTGGGCCCTCTGGCAGGGTCTTCGTCTTCCAGAATGAATGGAACGTTTGCATCCCCAACCTCTGAAGTGGCATGAAGAACATGGCTGCCAGGGGCCTCTCCTCAGCCACCTCTACTCCTGGGCTAGCCTTGACACAAGATGCCACCTGGACACTGGCGGAGTGCCGGAGCTGCGGGTCTAGCTCCTGACCTGAACTGACACCTCAGACTCTCTGGAAGAGGCTACTGGAAATCCAGGGTCCTGTTCAATGACTGCCAGCCAGATGGATGTGGGCGAGGGTGGGCCAAGACAGGGTGCCTTATACTTTGTTCTAGCACATTCCAAGGTATTTCAGGGCTTCGGCACCTGGAATCCCATATGTCAAAGCCAGTATTAAATCAAGTTTATGCATTCTTCAGAAAGATGGTTTTGAAGCCAGTGAGCTTTAGAATTGATTTTGTCTAACCTGGCCTGCCTGTGCATATGAGTGCTGTTTGCATGTATGAAAGTGTGTGTGTGTGCATATATGAAAACGTGTGTGCATATGAAAGTGTGTGTGTGTGTGAGAGAGAGAGAGAGAGAGAGAGACAGAGACAGAGACAGAGACAGAGAGAGAACAGACAAAACAGACAGGGCTTCAGCCCCTGGAAACCGGCTTGGATACCTCTGTTCCATGGACCGCTCCCATGTTTCCCCCATCTGGGGATCAAGGTTCAGAGAAGAGGACCACGATGGAGAGAGCTGACTGCAGCTTGGGACTGGGACCCTCACAACTGACCTTCCTCTGGGTCTGAGGCTGTAGGGGCAGGGCTTGGGCATCTGCACCTCTGTGTGGGAACTCCCTAGGTGTGACCCTGTTCAGACGAAGAAAATCGTCTGTCACTAGGAGGCTAATGGGGACCAAGGAGACTCCTAGGAACAGTGATGGATGCCTAGGACACTGACTTGGCACTTCAAAGTGACCACATGGCCCCTGCTGAGCTCTTGAGCTGAACAGCTGCTTCATCCACTGTGCCCTGGGGCTGAACATTTGATTTGAATTAGCTCCAGACAGCGACCCCACAAGCTGTCTCTCTCCCAACCAACTCCTACACATCCTTCAAAGCCAAAATACACATTGAGGAGCTTGTAGATCTTGTGTGACTCTGGGGATACCCTCTGCACCCCTCATACCCTGTGCTAATCTGGACCACAGCTCAGAGCCCTGTCTGTCACTCTGGTACTTAAGTTGCTCCTGGAGGGCAGGGCTGGCTTGCTAGGCTTGTCATGAGACCTGGCCTTCCCCATCGGTAAGGGTTTATGTCAGTTCCCTGCTCTCTGTGGCAGGTGTCCCCAGCTATTAAAAAAGTAAGTAAGACAGCACCTTCTACAGGGCTGGAAAGATGGCTCAGCAGTTAAGAGCACTGGCTGCTCTTCAGAGGACTTGGGTTTGTTGCAAGGAGAGGCTGTTTGTTCGTCCCGGCCGCCTGGCTAGCTTAGCCCAGAAATAACCACACAGAAACTGCATTAATTAAATCACTGCTCGGCCCATTACCTCTAACTTCTTATTGGCTAACTCTTATATTAATTTAGCCCATTTCTATTAATCTGTATATTGCCACGTGGCAGTGGCTTATCGGGTAAAATTTCCAGCGTCTATCTCTGGTGGATCCATGGAGTCTCTCCAACTCTTTCCTTCTCCCTGCATTCTGTTCTGTCTTCCTTGCCTACCTAAGTTCTGCCCTATCAACAAGCCAGGCAGCTTCTTTATTCATTAACCAAGAAAAGCAATACACAGAGGGGACTCCCACACCATGGGTTTGATTCCCAGCACTCACGGGGAAGTTTACAACCATCTCTAATTCCTGTGCCAGGGGATCTGAGGCCCTCTTCTGGCCTCTGCAGGTACCAGACATTCATGTGATGCATAGACATGCATGTAGGCAAAATACCCACACATCTAAAGATAAATAAATAAATAGGGCTGTGTGAAGAAAGGAATAGAATAATAGATATCTATTATAGCTATTATAATAGGGGGCTGGCGAGATGGCTCAGAAGGTAAAGGTGCTTGCTGCTAAGCCTGATGACCTGAGTTCAGTTCCTCGGGCCCATAGTAGGAGAGACTGGACTTCTGTAAGATGTCCTGTTTTACACACACACACACACACACACACACACACACACACTAATTTAAAATGCACCACCAGCCCATGTCCTAATTAATTATGCTAATGTTCGCCTAGAATATGAACTCTGATAAAGACAACGCCTGTGCTGGAGGTCCAGCCCAAGGAATAAATCACTGATGGTGACGTTTCAACTGTCGGTAACACTTGGGAGCATACAAATCAAAGGGGCCTTGGTCACTCCTCCTTCCATTGCTCCAATTCAAGACACACTGCCCATCTCGCATCATTCAGGAAAGAGGGTCTCCCAGGATCCCACTCCACTCCAGCCCTGACTCCAGATGTCACCGGCTATCACTGGAGCAGCAGAGCAGGAAAAGATATTCCCATGGGTCAGTGCCTCCAGTTCTGCCGGAAGATCACCCTGGGTGATGTGCCAAGAGTGTGGGGGCAGAGAGCATGTTGGAAATGAAGGTGGCAGCACTCTACTGTCGTCATGTCCCCAAAGAGCCATGGAGATAGCAACATGGCTCCCAGCTGTGCACAGCTGGGAGAGCTTCCTTGGAGGACTTGGTACAGGCCAGGGCTGGGGGAGTTGAATCAGTCTCAGGCCGGAGCTAGAATGGAAGTGTGAGCAGGGCTGGGGAATTCTTATGGGGAAACATAGGAAGGGAGCCCTGGGTGATGGAGAGAGGAAACAGTGCTGGGAACTGCAAGCAGCCCTGGGCCTCATTGTCTAGAGCTGTCTTGGCTGCAGCTCGGTTCTTGTGCAGCAGCACAGGGCGCTGAGTGAGCATAGGGGCTTGCAGGAAACCCTCAGCCCAGCCTTTGCGACCCACCCGCCGATTCTGTGCTGTTCTCTGTCCCCTATTCCTCTCCTCACCCCTTTCTTTCTTTCTTTCTTTCTTTCTTTCTTTCTTTCTTTCTTTCTTTTTCTTCTTCCCTCCCTTCTTTCTTTTTCTCTCTCCCTCCATCCCTCCTTCCCTCCCTTCCTTTCTTCCTTCTCCCCCCCCCCATTTTAGGGACAGGATTTCTCTATGCAATAGCCATTACTGTCCTGGGACTCACTATGTAGAGGAGGCTGACCTAGAACTCACAGAGATCCACCTTCTGGTATTAAAGGGATACACCACAACACCCAGCTTTCCCTTCTCTTCTTTTGAGACAGGGTCTCACATAGCTGAGGCTGGTCTCACAGAGCCAAGAGTAACCTTGAACTCCCAATCCTCTTGCCCCTACGTCCCGCGGCTGGGAGTATAAGGGTGCACTGTCATGCCAAGTTTATGCAGCGCTGGGGAGGCAACCCAGGGCTCCATGTTTGTCAAGAGAGCACTCTTCCAGCTCAGATGTATCTTCATCGCCCAGCTCTCTTTCCATCTAAATCTGCAAATGAACAGTTCAGGCTTCTCCAGAGCTCTGCCTGAGCCTAGTGATGGGGGAGCAGAGACGAGAGGGTACCCGGGGCTCACTGGCCAGCCAGTCTGGCTGAACTGGTGAGCTCCAGGTTCAGTGAGAGACTTGTCTTGAAAGAAAGAAAAAGGAAAAGAAAGAAAGAAAGAAAGAAAGGTCCTACAAGATAGATCAGCCTGTAAAGGCTCTTGATGCCAACGGTGACCTGAGTTTGATCCCTAAAACCCACAGGATGGAAAGAAAGAATCCATCCCTTTGCCCAAGATATCTGAGAATTGTCTCCCTCCACCAGTATAAATAAAAATGTGATTGGAAAAGATATGTTGGGGACTGGCTGGAGAAGGTGCCTGACATTGACCTCTGCCTTGCCCTCACATGTGCGTGTTCAATCATACCTGCATACCTGTGTGCGTGCATACACATGAACACATACATACCCCAAAAAATGAATAAATAAAAATAATTTAAAAATAAGAACTGAAGATGTGGGTTTGGGCACAGGGAGGTATTTTATTCACCAGGTAGTTGGGGACAGATCAGGTGTGCCAATGCCATTGGCTGTGACAGCTCTCTCCTCACGAGTCCCTCCCCTTGTCCCAACAATTTTTTCTTTGTAGTTGGCTTCAAGATGGGCTTTAAATCAGTTTTGGCCATGGTGCACTGTGTGCGCTCGCGCGTGCGTATGTGTGTGTCTATGTGTGTGTGTGTGCCATGACACACACACGTGTAGGTAAGAGAACAACTTATGAGAATTTCTTCTCTCCTTCTACCTGTGGACCCTGGGATTTTGAACTCAGATCACCAGGCCCTCTTCAGCCCACCTCTGCTCTACTTTGCAGACTTGCCCTTTCTAACCACGTTCGCTTACCGTTGCTGTTACCAAACACCAGGCAAAGTCCAGTTAAAGGAGACGAGATTTGTTTGGGCTCATGGTCTCAGAGGCATCAGTCCCTGGTCACTTGGCCTCACAGTTTGTGATGAGGCAGAGCATTGTGTGGGGGTGGGAGGGTAAAGGAGAGTGTGAGGGCGAGAGATTGAGAGAGATGCTCATCTATCATCCTCCCATTTTCCAGGACTACTCTTCCAACAGGCAGCGCCTGCCACCTAACATCCCATTCAGCTGTGAACTGCCCCTAGGAGGACTTCACTGATGACATCAGCACCCTCCTGCTCTATCACCTTTCAAGCCCCCCAACTCTGAACTCTCCTGGTCAGGATCACACGAGCCTTTGGTGGGGGGCACTACATAGACAGATCGTGACACTAGAGTCACCTAAGAGACTTTGCACCTGGCTCAGGTCAACACACTACTTCCAAGGTTCATCTATGTTGTAGCATGTGTCAGTACTTCGTTGCTACATTAATAAAAATAAAATGATGATGACTATTTATTATTATGTGTCTGCGAACTCAGACTCCTAACGGCACGGTGTCTGTGAGGTCAGAGGACAAGTTGCGGAAGTCAGTTCTCACCTTCCACGGTGGGTTCTGGGATGGAATTTAGGTTACCGGGATGGTGTGTCAGGTGCTTTCACCCTTCCAGTCATCTTGCCAGATCTTTGTTACTTTTTATGGCTGGGTATTCACCAATCGCATTGTTTCTGCCCATTTGTTAAGTGATAGACATCAGTAGTGTGAATATGTGGTAAATATAATAGGCCTTTTACTGCAATAAACATCTGCACACAGCTTTTGGGGTTCACTTTATCTATCTCCTCTATCTCCTCTCTCTCTCTCTCTCTCTCTCTCTCTCTCTCTCTCTCTGTGTGTGTGTGTGTGTGTGTGTGTGTGTGTGTGTAGGCACATGGGGCACATGCATCCCGATGCCCAAGGGTCCAGAAGATGGTGTCGGATTCCCTGAAGCTGAAGTTACAAGAGATTGTGAGGCCCTAGATGTGGGTACT